GGGGGGGGGGGGGGGGGGGGCGGATGCTGCTGCAGCCCTTCCTTAGTGCCTTTTTCTCCACAGGACCTGAAGATGGTGAACAGCTACTTAAAAAGCTGCTTCTTGATTTTCCCCAATTACAACTTGGGTCACGGACTCATGGAGATGGCGTACAACGAATACATCAACGAATACTACGCCAAGATCGGTAAAGTTGCCCGTGGCGTTAGCCCTGCAATTTCTCCTCCCCCCGCTCTCTGTGCCACGATCTATTCCTGCAGCATTGCAAGCTTCAGAACACGTGCAGAGTGCTTTCTAATCTGGCTTGTTCAGTTGCAATTTGCCCTGGACTATCTGGGAGATCCAAGAGGAAGGCAGGCCCTGCACCTCTTGCGCTGAGCAAGAAAATGTTCGTTCAAGAAGAAAGGCGTCTCCGGGGCTTTGGGGTTTAACTAGCAAAATAGCCCTGGAAAGCAGGAACCAGCCTCTGGTGCCCCTCGGCTGGAGAGGCACCGAGCCGAATCCGCACCAGCTCCCCACCCCCGGAGGAAGCCCCTGGTTGTGGGAGTTTTCAGCCCCGTCACCCCCCCATTGTGCTTCCGTTCCTTTAGGGCAGTTTGACAAGATTAAGTCTCCCTTTGAGTGGGACATTGTGACTCGGGCCCTGGTGGCTATGACTGTTGAAGGGTTCGTGGGCTTTTTCATCACCATCATGTTCCAGTACAACTTTCTCCGAAAACCACAGTGAGTGGAAGAGTAATTTCTGGGGGCGGGAGAGTTTCCTTCCCACCTGGTTGGGGAGGGTGGGAATTGTGGCCCCGCAAATCTGGAGGGGGCTGGGCAGGGGAAAGCTGGCACAATGCCACTGGAGGGGTGCAGTCTACAATTGAAAATACAGCTTCTTTGCCCCACCCCCACCCCGCCTTCCCAGGCGCCTTCCCGTGTCCACCAAACCCATCGAAGATGACGTGGACGTGGCTGCCGAGCGGCAGCGAGTTCTGCGTGGGGACGCCGACAACGACATGCTCAAGATTGAGAACCTCACCAAGGTGGGGAGGGTCAATTTGAGGCAGGTTTGGCTGGAGCAGGGGGCCCGAAGCCTCAGCCTGCCCTCTCTGAACACAGGGGGAGAACCCAGGTGGGATTTGGGGGCAGGAGAGGGATGCGAGCAGGCTCTCCTGCAGGTGGCAGTCCCCCAGCCCCCCAGACCAAGGGGAAGCTCCTTTTGCCCCGAGGCTGAGGCGGCTTCTGTTTTTGCCCCTCACTGGGCACCAGGTGTACAAGTCCCGCAAGATTGGGCGCATTCTGGCCGTGGACCGGCTGTGCGTGGGTGTCCGGCCAGGAGAGTGCTTCGGCTTGTTGGGCGTCAACGGGGCAGGGAAGACGACCACCTTCAAGATGCTGACAGGGGACGAGACCACGACCAACGGCGAGGCCTTCATCAATGGGCACAGGTATGCCTGGGGGGCGGGGATGGGGCTGGCGAGTCCCCCGAGAGTGGGGTGCACAACCCACCTGCCGCAGGGTTCCCCGGGAGCGCAGTTGCTGCCCCGGAGCTGATTTTCCCCCCCTCTTCTTTCCTCTTGGTATAACCGGTCATTCTGTTGGGGAATTGGCTGCCCCAGAAGGGGCTGTGGGTGGGACACCGTTAAAATGGGGCCGTTGGCACACAGAGCCAGAGAGAGGAGGCTGTGAGTGCGTGGGCCAGTGGAGCCTCCGTGGGCAGGCAGTTCTGTTCTGATCTGCTCATTGCAAGAGAGCCGCCAGAAAAAGAGGATCTGCCTTCCCGGTGGCTTTTAGAATCCCGTGGCGATCTTACACTTGCGACTCTTGTAATATTTTCTTAATCCATTTGTTCTCTGCTTTATTGGTTACCGCTAGCTGCTTTGAGCACTGGGTCCCTCCTAGAACACCATTTTCTTTTGAACGGGGCTGTGCTCTGAAACCCCTTTCCTGCCAGCCTGCCCTTCTGGGGCCTGCCGGGGCATCCCGGCCAGGCTGGGCTCCATGCCGTGCGCTCAGACCGGCTCTCGGCTTTCACAGCATCCTGAAGGAACTGCTGCAGGTCCAGCAGAGCCTGGGCTATTGCCCGCAGTTCGACGCCCTCTTTGACGAGCTGACGGCACAGGAGCACCTGGAGCTGTACACGCGGCTGCGTGGCATCCCTTGGAAGGATGAGGAGCGGGTGAGGGAGCAGCAGGAGGGGGTGGCTGAGCGACGCCCTTCGACCCCCCAGCTTTCCTTGCTGAAGTAGAAGGCGGCAGCTGCTGCTGCTTCACATGCAGAAAATGAGTTGCTGGAACCCACCCCCAGAAGACAGGAAGGGGGGGAAGAAGGCTAAGGGAAGCCCCCAGGTTCAGGCCTCTGCAGGGGCTGGGGTGCTCCTTGGAGCATCTGCAGGATGCTGGACGAGGTGGACCTTCCGTTGTTCCAGCGCGGCTGCGGTTGTGTTGATCTGTGTGGGTGTGAGACCCCTCTTCCCTTGCTCAGGTGGTTAAGTGGGCGCTGAAGAAGCTGGAGCTGAACAAGTGTGCCAACAAGCCTGCGAGCACCTTCAGTGGTGGCAACAAGAGGAAGCTGTCCACCGCCATTGCGCTGATCGGCTACCCAGCCTTCATTTTCCTGGTGAGGCGCAGCGGTGGAGCAAGGCCAGGGCTGAGGGTTGCACGCCATGCTCAGGGGTGCAGCCCTGGCCTCAGGAGCCTCCCCGAGAGGGTACTGGGCAAGTGAAGTCCCTAATTCTCCCCTCCGGTCCCCTCCCGGCAGGATGAGCCAACCACGGGCATGGACCCCAAGGCCAGGCGCTTCCTGTGGAACCTCATCCTGGACATCATCAAGACGGGCCGCTCCGTGGTTCTGACCTCGCACAGGTAGGCGGGGAGCCCCGTTTCCTGAGATGCCAGGGCGAGGGATTGGCTGGATTAGGGAGCCCGGGGGGCATGTGGATGAGTAAGGTGGCAGCAGCAGCAGCAGCTGCAGGGCACCCAAGAGCCAGGGAGCTGTTCCCCCTTCGTTTGGGGAGAGGGTGCCCCGGCTCGGCTCTTTCAGCGGGGCTTATCTTCTCTCAGCATGGAGGAGTGCGAGGCCCTCTGCACGCGGCTGGCCATCATGGTGAACGGGCGCCTCAAGTGTCTGGGCAGCATACAGCACCTCAAGAACCGGTGAGCAGAGGGCGGTGGGTGGGCAGAGCGCGGGGGCCTTTGCCTGACCTGCCAAAGCTGGCCAGTCGCCTCTCAGTCCTGGCCTGCGTGCGATGCCCAGATGTGGAGCAGACCCCCCCGAGTTCCCCCGTCCTGCCGGGAGCGTCTTCTGGCTGATGGGGAGGAAACATTCTCTCGCTCCTGCCAGCTGAGCCTCCGAGGCCCCTTCCCAGATGGCACTGGACAGCTGGCAGCTTTAAAATCCATCCCGGAGCCCTTCCTGTAGCTGGCCAGGAGAGCAGCTCTTGCAGTGTCCCCCTCCTCCCCTCTTGCTCCCGGACAGGTTTGGGGACGGCTACATGATCACTGTACGGACCAAGTCCAGCCTGAACGTGAAGGAGGTGGCCCAGTTCTTCAGCCGGAACTTCCCAGAGGCCGTTCTCAAGGTGTGGGCGACTCTTTGCTGGAAACCACGGGGGGGGGCAAGGAGGGGCTTCATCTCCACCGGCTCCCTCCGGGACGGCCCCTCCCATCACTCCCCACTGTGGGCTGGCTTGATGTGAGCTGTGACCCATTGCGTCTGGCCAACGTGCTCTTTCCCAAGACCTTTCACCACCTTGGAGAGGCTGGATGGCGGATGGGTGCCAGTGGGGAGCCCCAGGTTCGAGGAGGAGGAGGAGGAAGAGGGCAGAGAGAGCCACCCCCCTTGGGGTTTAAGAAATAATGAGCACAAAGCTACATCCCGTGAAAATAAGGAAAATATGCTATGAAAGGGGCAAAGGCCGAAGCAACCAGCCTGAGGCTCTTGGAGGTGCTTGGGCCCAGCTGGATCGGGACCCTGCCAGGCCAAGCGAGGAGGCAGCGGCGGCGGCACCAGCCTTCACCCTCTTCTGTCACCCCCAGGAGAGGCACCACACGAAGGTGCAGTATCAGCTGAAGTCGGAGCACATCTCGCTCGCTCAAGTCTTCAGCAAGATGGAGCAGGTGGTGGCCGTCCTGGGCATCGAGGATTACTCCGTCAGCCAGACCACGCTGGACAACGTGAGGGGGGGGCATGGCGGGTCCCCACATTCCCTTCGGCTGCCTGCTCTGTTGGGACATGCGGATTCCAGCCAGCTCTGCGCCTGGTGCATTGGCAGGGCGGCAGCGGCAGCTGGCTGAGGGTAGCGGGAGTTGTAGCCCAACACAGCCGGAGGGTGCCGGTCTGGGGGAATGCAGCCAGCCTGGCGCAGGGTCCCCCCCCGGGCCCCAGATTTCCCATCTCCAGGCTGGAACTCCCGGGGCCTCTCTGAGGGGCTTTTGGCAGGCGGGAGGTGACTCAGGCCCTGACCACAGCCCGGGGGTCCAGCCTGACTTTGCAGCCTCCTTTCCAGGTGTTCGTAAACTTTGCCAAAAAGCAGAGCGATAACCTGGAGCAACAGGAGAGCCTCCTGCCCTGCTCGATAGAGTCCCCTCTGCAGCGCCTCCTGAACCTGCTGCGGCCCCGCGGGGCCCCGACGGAGCTGCGGACCATGGTGGTGGAGGAGCCCGAGGACTTGGAGACAGACGACGAGGGGCTGATCAGCTTTGAGGAGGAGCGGGTGAGGCTCCTCCACTGGGAGTCTGTGCGTGGCCGAGCCACCTCGCGCTACAGGGCAGGGCAGAGGAACGCCCACGCAGCAGGGTGGGGTCGGCCACTCGGCCGCCCAGGGGGCAAAGACGGTGGCAAAGAGGCCTGTGGGGTTGGCAGCCTCTGTGGCGCAGCATTAACACTTGCCCTGCTCTCTTCCCCCGCCCCACAGGCGCAGCTCTCCTTCAACACTGATACCCTCTGCTGAAGATGGAGGGGACACAGCCCCCTCCCTTGGCTGTGCGACCACCAACCCCTTCCCGCTTCGTGGGTGCCGCCCTTGGCCTCTCCGTCGAGTGAGCGGGAGCTTCCCGGAGGCGGGGGCAATGAGAGGAGGCATCGCCCAGCCTTTGACCTGGGTGGGCCCCCGAGAGAGGAGCTGGCCGTGTGCAGTTGAGCAGATGGCCAGGGCCAGAACGCCGCATGCGAAGACTCGGGGAGGGGCGTTTGGGCAGAGGAGAGCTGCCTCCGAGCCCCACCTGAACCCTGCAGTTTTGGGCATTAGTCCCCGGAGAGACTGCGTGCTGTTGCACCTCGCTGCCTTTTCTGTTTGGCCGCCCTGGATCGGACTGCGGAGGGCACCGGCTGTGCTGCGGAGGAAGCCTCACGGGGCTCCATCTGCCCTTCCCAAACGGGAGGCGCAAGATGCCAGAGGGGGCCCATCCTTCTGGAACAAGTCTCTGGATCGCTTCGGGGGGGGGCTTGTCCATCCCCCGCAGGGCGTCCCTGCGGGCAGGCCCCTCCCTCCCCCTGCCCTCAGCCCAGGGCCACGGTCCCGCTGCCCGTTCCGTGCGGGCTTGGAAGGCGCTGCGCCCCAGGCATCCTGCTAAAAAGGAAACCGACCGACCGACCCACCCTAACCCCGGAAGCAGCCCGCGGGAGCGCACCTGGCCCCGTGAGCCTCGCTCTCCGTTTCCTCTAACCCAGCTTGGAGCTTTTTGCTATGTTAAAGGTAACCTTCTTTCCGATTCTGTCCTTTAAAGCATTAAGTGACTCGACCGGACTGAAAGCTCCCAAAACGGCAGAGGCCTTCCGGAAGCTTTTCCACCGAACCTCCTCTGCTCGCGTCCTAATTTGGCACGGCGTTAATAGGAAGCCTCCAGTAGGATACTGAGTTTATCTTTCAGAAGCCCCCTGGCCAGGGACGGTCTCCAAGGAGGGCCTGGCATCAGGTCTCCTGCTTCTAACCATGGAGGCTCAATTACGTGGTAACCATGAATAGCTGCCGGTGGGCCTGTACAGTTGCCTCTTCGCCCAGGCAGCCCAAAGTAGCTGGGAGAGCCTTCTCCAGCTTCTGGAGTCGCTCCAGATGTGCGGGACTTCAACTCCTGATGCCCCAGCCAGGTGGCTTAGGAAGATGGGAGCTGTAGTCTAACCTGCCAGATGGGGCTGCAGTTGGAGAGGGCAGGTCCGTGGTCCACCCGTCCTTTCTTGGTTGGGGAGTGGCACCACCCGCAGCATTTGCCGTATTCACCCACCCCCGGCTGAGTGCGCCTTGCACCACAGAAGCCACGAGACCAGCTGTGGCTTCCCAACGTTTTTAACCCCAGTCGAAGAGGGAGAGGTGCTGGAAGACCCTTTGGAGTCCGAGCAGGGCCTGGCTCCCTTCTCAGCTCGGCCACACAGGAACTGCAGAGCTTCTTAGCGCAGAACGAGTGTAAATTGTATTTTGAGAAAGATGAAGATTTTAGACAAAGACTGCATTGGTTTATTTTCTGCTTGGCAAGCACAATGTTTTTTATTCACTGGACAGCCAGGGAGGGGTGCGAATGCGGGTAGGTACCCAAGCAGTGTGGGAATCTGGTGGCGAGGATGGGACTGTGCACGTTCCCCCATCTCCCCTCCCCAAGCACAGCTGTCGGGCAGCTGGCCTTGGCCCGCCTCTCCCTGGTCCCCCCGTTAGGGAGCTGAAAGCAAAGGGGAGACATCAGGCCGCCCGCAAACAAAAGCCCGCTAGGGAGGACTCTGTGCTGAGCTCGGCCGACGTCTGCTCTGCCTGCCCCCAGCCACTCTCTCGGCCCGACCCCTGGCGTGGGGGATCCTGAGCCCCACCGGGGCGGCTTGCAAGGGGAGTGCCTGCGGTTGGCCTTTGCAAGGAGCCCGTACATTGCTAGCAAAAGAACCGGAAAACCCAATGTGAAAAATAATTATTGTTTTAATAAAAAGATTATGATAACCTACTGGTGTTTGGCAGAGGATTTTGTGGGGGTGGGCTGGGATCTGTTTTGCAACGCTGAGCCAGAGCAGAGAACAAAACCAACCCCAAAAATGTCCTCGAAGGGGATGCCAAAGCTGTGACGGGTTTGATTTTTGTGTGGGGAGGAGTCATGTGCCAAGTTGTGTGGTTTTAAGGGCAACCCCAGTCCTGTGAAGTGGGAGGCTGAACCTCAGTCTTGGTTCAGCCCATGTTTGCATGAATCATTCCTGTCCATCAGTCTATTGGGTGAGTCATTCTCCTTGGGTTGATTTTTTTTTTTAATTGTCCTAGAATACCCACAACTTTCTCTTACGTGTATTTTGTGTCTTAACACATTTCCCCCTAATCGAGACAGGTTGGGAGCAATGGAAGTGCGCGGGGGCTGGTTTGAGCCTGCATTTCAGTCCTGGGTGTGAAAAGCTGACATTTTCAGCAGAGCCCTCTCGCCCTGGGTTTAACTGGAAGCACCTTCTTAATCTCTCAGCAGCTTTCAAAGGTCAGGTGAATTGTCCTCATATGCAGAAATAGGAGAGCTATTTTTCTGTCCTCCGAAGTGTGGCTCTCGCGCATCTGGCTTCTGAGGGCTGGGCAAAGGAGTGGGTTTATTTTCGGAAGAAGTCACACCTTGTCCCAGCTGCCCGGGGCCTGGAGATGGGGTTAAGAGAGGTCACTCGGAGGGTGTTGCTGGGTCTAGGGAGAGCTTTACCCGTGAAGGATGGGGTGAGAAACGGGGCCCGGCTGCTCTGCGCTGAGCGAACAAGACCAAGCATTTTGCAGCGGTCCCTCTGTTGCCCTGAACTCAGCCTGGGCCCTCTTTGATCTCGCTGTGTGTTTGGGGCTCCTAAAAAGAAAAGAAAAAATTCAGCCCTGAACAGAGAGTTGAGGTAGATTGTATATTACATGTGCCGTCGGCACTGTAGCAGCAAAACCCTTTTTTCCCCTCTTTTGGGTTACTCTTTACAAAGCTCAGCCTTCCTGCCACTGCAGTGTCTACCAGACGAATAAGGCAGGATCGATTCTCCCTCCCCTGTAACAATAGCGTTAGTATTGGCGTTATTTAGGTTTACATCCTGCCTTTCAACCCGAAGGACGTCAGCAGACAGTCTGTGAGGTCACAGCAGTCCCTCCGCGAGCACGACGGGTCGGCAAAAGGCAGTGCGGGAAGACGGAGGGGCTGCTCCCGGCGCTGCCCTGGGCGGCTCGGGCTCTGCTTTTCCGTCGCTGCCACCCAAGGGGCAAGGGAGCTCCTCAGATTGGGTGGCTGCAGGAGCAGGGCGTTGAGAGGCAAGGAAGAAAGAATGCAGCTGGTGAAGCTCGGAGAGGGTGTGTCGAATTTATAAAACAGACCGAGCAGTGCTGGACAGCTGCCGGGTTTCCCTGCTGGGGCCAAGACAGAATGGCGGAGGGTTCCAAGCTCCAGCTGTTTGTCAAGGTAAGACCCGCTCTGACGGGAGGCCCCTGGGCTGAACGTGGGGCGGGATGCTCCAGATGTGTGGCTCGGGCGCCGTTGCCAAAGCCACGGGTTGAACGCGTGAAGGGAGAGTCTAGAGGTCATCCGCCCAGCGTCTCCTCTCCTGACCAAGGTGCTGGAGAGCCCGTCAGTTGAAGGATAGGGGACAAGGGTCTCCCATCCATCCCCAGCATCTGGGCGTAGGGAGAGAGGGTCTCTGGACTGAGCCCTCCTGGTGCTTCTCCCCCGCCTGCATCCCAGCTCCCCTCGGCTTTGTCCCCTCCCTTGTGGGCCTACGAGAGTCCCCCTGGCTGCAGCCTCGGCTTTCCTTCCACCTCTGGAGGCAGGCCTTTGCACGCTTCTCGGTCCAGGTCAGAGCAGGACATCCGCACCCATCTCTCCCAGACCTTCCCCTCGACATCTGGCCGAGGGAACGGCAAGCCCGTTTTCTTTTTCTGTGCAACTGTGGAGTTGCGCCAAGTCCCTGTGCTCAGAAGAACGCCTTGCCCAAACTAGCTTTCCTCAGATGAAGCCCTGCCAGATCTCTGCCCTGAAGCGCCCTTTCTGGCAGAGAGAGCATCTCTCACCAGCCCGAGGTGTGGCGTGGCCTTTGGGTTTGGCCCGGGGACGACCCTGGGAACAACGAAAAGCTGCATCACTGGGGAGAGGGTTCCCTGGCGCTGCCCTGTGCGCAATGGAGCTGGTTGGGCGGGCGAGCGAGCAGACCGAGCACACTTGTTTCTCCAAAGGATGGATCAGGAAGTGGGCGTGAGGCTGAGGTGTCGGAGAGGCTCAATTAAGCAACAGCCAAATAATCTTCCTGTCCCACAAACGCCTGCGCTGATCCAAAAATAAAATGACTTGCATGCAGGGAGGGAAGGAACAAGCATGGAAGCTGGACTGAAATCCCAGCAAGTTTTGACAGCCTGTTGAAATGCGTCAAGGCATATCTCTGTTGGTTGACCTACTTCACTCGCTCACATCCAGCTCTGCCTGGGAGGATGGGACTTGTAGTCCCACACACGTGATGGGCACTGTGCAAGGAAAGGTGGCGTGGCGGTTTTAACTCTCGGATGGCGTGGCGGTTCCCGTGACGCCGCTTCTGCGGAGATGCATTTCCAGAGAGATGCGCTTGGCCTAGGGCTGCTTTTTCACCCCCCTTCCCTGCCCCATTTAGGCCAGCACTGATGGAGAGACCATAGGGCACTGCCCCTTCTGCCAACGCCTTTTCATGGTCCTGCTGCTCAAGGGCGTCCCCTTCACGCTGACCACCGTGGACACCAAGAGGTGAGACGTGCAAAGGACAGCCGGCGTCTTGCCTGCCCACCTGGTCCTTCGCTTTCCCCTTCAGTCTGCTTCCCCCGTCCTGGTGCCCCCCAGAATCCCTTGGCAGATGACGGGGATTCTATCCAACACATCTGGGGGCCACTGGGCTAGAAAACCTTCCCATGAGCCTGGCAGGGTGGTGGCTTCTCCCGGAAGCCCTTCTGGGTTTGGGGACTGTTGGGGACCTGCATCCGAAAAGGGAGGACTGGCTCTGCTGGGGGCTCTGCGTGCTCCTGGGTGCTGGGTATGTCCCTTGTGGGGATGCAGAAGGGGGGAGGAAAGCCCTCCCTTTCGCAGCGTCAGCCCCTTTTCTGACCCCCCTCCCTCCCAGGTCCCTGGATGTCCTGAAGGACTTTGCCCCAGGAGCCCAGCTGCCCGTCCTGCTCTATGGCGGGGAGCCCAAAACCGACACCATCAAGATCGAAGAGTTCCTGGAGGACACCCTGGCGCCCCCTGAGTAAGTGGTTGGGCCCCCCGTCCAGCTTTTGAGAGGGGCTGGAGCCCAATAGAAGGGAGGCTGGGACTCAGCAAGTTTCGCGCCCACTCTCCTTGCCCTCTTTTAAGCAACCCAGGGTTGTGCCCATTGCACAGATGGGGAGACTGGGCCAGGAGGCTCAGCAGTCAGCATTCCTCCTTCCCCCGCAGATTCCCCAGCCTGGCGCCCACCTACAAAGAGTCCGCCTTAGCCGGGAATGACGTCTTCCACCGGTTCTCTGCCTACATTAAGAATCCCACACCTGCTCAGGATGAAGGTAAGGGGGGGGGTTGGACTACAACTCCCATCCCCCCCAGCCAGCACGCGCAAAGGCCCTTTGTTGAGTCCGGTCATTTGGTGACCCAGAGAAAGGCTGTGCTGAGCCACGGAGGGTTCTCATCTATCAGCTTGTTTTGCTAAACAAGCCCCCATCTTAGAGGCAGTCTATCTGTGGATTTCTTAGCTCCAGCCTGCCCCAAAAGCTGACTTCTTGGGGTGTTTTTCCTACAGCCTTGCGCCGTGGCCTCCTCAAAGCCCTGCAAAGGCTGGACAAATTCCTGAACACCCCTCTGGACTACGAGCTGGCGCGCGACCCCCAGCTGGCCATCTCCTGCCGGCGGTTCCTGGATGGCGACCAGATGACCCTCGCTGACTGCAACTTGCTCCCCAAACTCAACATCGTTAATGTGAGGAGACCATGAGGAAGCCAGAACAAGGCGTCCCTCTCCTCTGGGCCCGCCGGCTCCACACGGGGCCCCCTTTTTCTGCTGCGGATTTCCTGGGGACGCAATTCCCCCTGGCTCTAGAGAGTCATGTCTCCTCTGTGTGCACCAGCCCTGCTCAAGGGAGGGATGGCCTCTTCTCACCCCACCCACAGCGGAGCTGTAATTATCTCAGAACTCAGCACAAACACAATTCAGTATCCTGAGAATCTCAACCTTCCGGTTTGGGTTCATCTTCACCTTGAAAACAAAGTGAGCAGAATAAACGGATGGCACATCCGCCCTCCGCTCAGGGAGGCCCTGATCTTTGCTTCCTTCTCCTCTCCTCTTCCGCAGGTCGTGTGCCAGCACTACCGCCAGGCAGGCATCCCCAAGGACCTGCAGGGCATCGGGCGCTACCTGGAGTGTGCTAACGAGGCCAAGGAGTTCCAATACACCTGTCCAAACCGCCAGGAGATCATCCAGGCCTACCGTGGTGTGGTCAGGCAGCCCAAGTAGCACCCTGGCTGGAGGAGGGGGCCAGCAACCTGCCTGGCCCCCGCAGCTCCTCCTTCCTCTCTCTCTGAGCCACCCAGCAGCGGAAGAAACTGGGGAGGCCGAGATCAGAGGGACCCCCTTAGGCACAGCTGTGCCCAAGACTCTCTTTAGGTGTGTCCAGCATCACTGCCCATCTTCCCTCCTGGCAAGGCAGTGGGTGCTTATGCAACGTGGCCAGGCACCAGCCCTGCTCTTGGGCAGCACTGGCGCAAATGCTGTAGTGATTGTCTGCAGACAGGTCCCTGGCTGGAAAACCTGGCTGGCTTCTCCAGATGGGTCTGCTCACGGTCTCTTGATCCGATTCAGCAAGGAAGACCTGACGGAGGCGAGATCAGCTCCCTGCCCCACAGCAAGGACGGGCTTAAAGGCCCGCGAATGGGTGGCATTCTTAAGCGACGTCCCACATCTGAAGCTGTGGGAGAGGAGACCCTTGGCGGAGAAGCCCTGCGCACGGCCTCGCTCCCAGGTGTCGGGAGGTTGTGTGGTGGCTTTGCATTCCTACATTTCTCTCTCTCCCCATCTAGGGCTCTTGTTAAGTATAACATCCCTCCCAAAATTTCAGACACAATAAATGTCTTTCCTGAAAATTAAATTGATGCTAATACTAATAGGGAATTTAGACTCAGTCGATTTTTGTGCCCTCAACAAACAGTTATCCTTCTGCAACTTCACTGTTGCAGAACTGATTAGAACTGAAATATTCTCTCCCTGTTATCCAACCCCCCAGCAGAATTTCTTCCCACTATTCCAGACTTCTGTTCCCCTGCCCAAAGAATCAGGCCCAGAAAGAACAAAATGGAAGGTGAGTAAAATCAAGCATTTATTATCAAAAAGAGACATTTGCACTAAATTCTCATTCTGTAATACAAGGAGTCCCCAGTTTAAGAACAAGTTCCATTCCCAAAGTTTGTCCTTAAGTCATATTTGTATGTAAGTTGGAACAATATGATTGTATAATACTGTATAACTAGTATTTTGTAATGAACTCGAACCATTGTGTAATTAACTTGAATTTTGCTACAGTAGGCTCCGTTCTTAACTATGGGCCATCCGTAAACTGGGCGTTCTTAACCTGGGGACTGCCTGTACATATAAAAAATACTTTTTACATGTCATGCTTAAATACTTTTTAAAACATCCATGAAGCAGTTTCTTGCCCTTTGATTGGAAAACAATTCAGGCATCTTCAAAATCTACCCCTGTCGGGATCTTCTTGCTAGAGCAAAAGGAGAAATACTGTCTGTATTAAGCATTGCTGTGGCACACTTTGCATGCTCAAAAGCCCCTTCCCTCAGCCGCTTCTGTACCAGCCCTGCGAGGGAGATCAGCAGAGTTATGCACAGAATGCAGTGGAAATTGACCGAGAGAGAAGCTGCTGCTTCTCCCGCTTGGAGCCGCTGAGAGACGCTGGATTTATCATCCCCTGCTAGTTGGGAATGATGGGAATTCAAGTCCAACATCTGGAGGGAACTAGGGAGAGAAGGCTAGCATAGCACATCGCCTTCATGAAAGAAACTCCCCTCAGAAGGCAACCCCTTTCCTCCGTTAGCAGAACAAGTGTGAAAGAAAAGGCGTGGCTCACTGGGCAGATTTCAAGAGGGCTGAGATGTGTGTGGCGGGTCAGCGCCACCCGAGCGAACGGTCCCGCGCGGCCCCAGTGGGTTACCTTCGGAATCCAGGATTAATCAGGGACTCTCCAGGCAGCCGTTTCTTACTCGGACTGGCCCCTCCTCTGCGCTTCTGCGGACTGAGGTCTGTGGGGGAAAAGCCGGGGGGGGGCAGAGAAATCACAGCACCATCTTCCTCGGGGAGACCAGGCAGGCCATGGGGAGACTTAGGGGGCTGTTCTGGGGAAGCTGCTATAGCAGGCCTGTCTTTGCAGCGGTTTGGAGCATCCAAAGAGGGAGCTGAGGGGCCCCTAGGGTTTTCCCGTAGGGTGGCATCAAACATTTGCACACACCTGACCCAGGGACTGTTTCTCCCTGCAGAAAATCACCTTTGCCCTTGGAAGGATCAGACATAAGCGTAACTGGGATTCCAGAATCTGGTTTTTCTGCCCTGGGAAACCAGATATTTTGGAAGGGAGGGGCTGGGCGCACAGCAGGGTCAGCTTGCTTCCCTCCCTTCCGGACTTTGACTGGGAGGGGCGGAAACGCACCCTCCTGGCTGGGTGTCACCCCTTACCTGCTTCCAAGAGAGTCTGGCTTGGCAAGATCTTCTTCCCAGGGCTCCTGAGGGCCACGGAGGTGGCAGCGGCCGCCGCGCTCTCTGGGGTGGGGAGGAGGAGGAGGAGGAGAAGCAGTCAGGCCGCAGTGCCCTCCGCTCTGGCCCATCTCCCCTGAACCCGGAAACCATCCGAGACCAAAAGGGGCCTCTTCCTTGGGTTGCAACCTGGCCCCTGGGCCACCTTTCTCCCTGAGGCAGCCACAGGGTGGGGGTTACGTGTTCCTTCAGACACGCTTCTGCTTAAACTGCCTTGGGCAGTTTATAGAGAATTTCACAGATGCTTTATTCACAGAAGCACACACACACGCCATGCCTGCTCTTTGCTATCTGTGCATCTCGCTATGGGCACTCAAGGGCCAGGGGTCACTGCTCCATTTCTCTAGAAAAAAGCTGTGCTCTTCCTGCCTTGATGGCTGCTGCTTCTTCCTTTTTTTAAGTGATTTTAAAATGATTTCGTAATTATCCCTGGGGGTCTTGCTCCCCCGGCGGGAACGCTGCCGTTCTCCCAGCCCCCGTCCAGTCAGGCACCTTCCAGGTGTTTCTCCAGCGTCTGCACCTGCTCCACCAGGCCGAAGGTGAGGTCCTGGAGCTGCCTCCTGGCCTCGGGGAGCGAGGCTTTGTAGAGGTCGAAGGTCACGCTTTGCCCGCCGTCCTGGACCTGCAGCATGGCCTTGCCGTCGTGGAGGCTGAGGGTGGGCGTCTGGCCCTGCAAGATTTCTCTGCAAAGAGTCGAGCCATCACTGGCTCTGCAACTAAGCGCCGAGAGCAGCAAAGAGCTCTGGGGCGACTCTGCCGGAGACCAAGGAAGTGAACGAACTTCCGTTCTGGGGAGGTGAATGAGAGGATCTACGATGGCGCCACCTCTCCACGAGGGATGGCATTTTCCCCTGATTCGAGGTCTCACTTTCTTCATGCCCTGCTTGGAGCCACTCACTGGCGAAGTAGCCAAGACCGGTGGGGGGAAACCTCTCCAACCTCCGCCTCCCCTGCAGCTGGTGGAAAGGTGCAGGACCAGAGGCACCTTCCTCTGCCCACCAAAGCTGGCTGAGCCCCCAGCTGCCAGGAGAAAGGCGGGCCTGGCCGGCAGCTGTACTCACCGCAGTCTGGAGAGGGAGTCAGCCGGAGAGCCGGGCTCCTTCTGTGCAGAGAAGAAACAGCGGTGAACCCCCCCCACCCGGACCCACACACTCGCTGGGCTCACCCAACACATGGGGACGGGTCTTTAGCTATCCAGTGCAAAGGACCCCAGCCCAGGGAGGGCCAGAGGGGAGAGCAGCCCCCACCCTTCCGGACCTGCCCGTCCAGCTTCTCCAAAGGGACGCTGCAGCTCCAGAACTCACACGCGTCGGTCAGCCTGCAGGGAGGGAAGGGAAGGGAGACGGCTGCGGCCGAAAGGGGCTTCTCGGTGGCAGAAGCCCCCCACCCCCGCGCAGATGGTGTCTGGACAGGCTGATCGTTTCCTGCGCTTCTGAAGGCCAGCCTTGTCCTGCAGGGCTCCACGGGGGTGGGGGATGGGGGCACACAGTCCCCAAGGCGGCTCAGGGCCAGAGCAAGGGTGCCAGCCACTGGGAGGGCAACAGGGGCGCTCCCGATGCCCCACAGGATCCCCAGCAGCTGCGGCCCCTCCCTCCGCGCTCGCGGATCCGGCCCTTAATTGCAGGCGAAGAACTCCGCCGGCGCGGGGAGGGGTTTGCACCGCCAGCCAGCAGAGGTTGTAAAGGGGCGCTTCTCCAGGCCCTCTGCACTCGCTCAGGGGCGGCATTTCGGCGCAGGCCAGGGAGGCGGGCGCCGGGGGCCTGACCCGAGCGCAAGAGGGTCCCGACGCCAGAGCGCCGCCGTCGCCGCCACCTCTGCACTTACCGCAGCCGCGGAGAGT